ACGCGAACTCATTTTTTTGGTTGATTTTTCTTTGTTAAACGGCATTTAAATATATAAAATAAATATCAAAAATATAAATCTTTGTTTTACTACTGTTTGCAAATGTCAAAAAATTTCTATATGTGACATAGCACCAGAGTTAAGTTGGGTTTTTCAAAATGCTGACACACGGAGCTCAAAAGGTTCGCCATCACTGCTATAGACTAATTCACTTACAATGCTATAAGACAGATAACTTTTTGAATCTCTATTTGAGGGATGGGAAATTGAGGCACAGAGAAGTTACAAAAATTGCTTGGGGTCACACAGCTAGTAAGTGGTGAAGCCAGGATGTGTTACCACTCTACTATGCTGCCACTCATAAGTTATGCTTTTCAGTCACAAGTATCTGACCAACCAAATAAACATCCTATTAATATTACTAAAGCAATAAAGTTACAAATGTTATAAATGTTTTAATATTCACTTTAAGCCCACATATTTTTAAGAGTTGACTAAGTATTGTACCTAAAATGTTTCAAAGAAAAAACCCTCTGCCTCCCTCATTCGATACATCTTCTTAGATACACTGATGCCTTCTAATGATTTCTAAGGCCAGTAACTGCAAGTGGTAACTCTCAGATTTGCATTTGCTTCAAATTAAATCTGCTTGGCAACAGTTTTTCTGCCAACTAACTTGTCCTTATTTGCAGATTTTTTTTTTGAACTGTATTTGTGGGAAGCAAGTATTTAAGGAGGTTTAAAAAAGCTGAACAAAAGAAATTGTAAAATAATTTATGGCTACTTTAAAACTCTTTTCAGTTGCCTTTCCCCTTGGATTTAATGTCAGGAAAAATACAATAGTGTGAAAGTAAAATAAACAAGGTTATAAAAATGTGTTTTTTGAGAATACATAAGCCAAAAATAAACACAGCCAAAATCATTTGAGCAATTTAAGTGAAAGCCATCATATTTCAGCTACCACCACTTGCTAGCACATACAACACATACCTCATGTCTTGGATAAGGGAGACCCTGAGGGTTGGCAACATAACTCCTGAGTCAGATTTTCTTCTTTCTGGTCCCAGGGCAACTATGTAGAAAAATATCAGCAAAGGATTAGAAAAGTAACAGTAAGAAAAACAATCTATATGATTCACATTCTATAAATAAATACTTTAAAATTACTTTTGAAGAAGAAATTTTGAAGACAAAAGAAAAGATCAAATTGTTGTCACTTTATTAATACAGTAAACTGGCTGTATTCTTTCCAGTTCATCTGGGGCTGCGTTTGTAAATTTAAAATGAATTATAAAAGCCCACTTAGCAAATAATGTAACGTGTGCAAATTCTGGCCATAATGGCCAGTCATTTTCTAAAGTTATTCATTCTAATTGAACTGGATAATTACATGAAAGCAGTATCTATAAATTAAGCTACTGAGCATGTGAATTATCTCTGGGCTCATGCATTGCCATCACACAATCTCCCTATATACCAGGATTTCAGATTGCATTGTTGCTTTATAATGTTGATGAGATGCCACAGGAACCTAACTCTTGTTTATATCAATTAGCCTGTGGTAAAACGGGGTTCATTATGTGTCATTTCACTTCAAGATGCAGAACCTACCAATGACATTAAGTGAGGACTTACTGTACTCTGAAAGAGTGTTTAAAAAGAAAATCTGAGAGTTTGGGCTCTCTAGGCTGGTAAATTTCTACTTTCAAGTTCAGAATCCAAACTACAGTATGCATACTATTCAAAATCTAAATGAACATAGAAGTAAAATGTTCATGAGTCTCTTCTGAAACCTGAACAGCTTACATTTATAAAAGAAGGGAAAATTATTCTATTATACAGCAACTCTTAAAATGTCTCTGATTCCTGTATAGTGCTGCTTTTGAAGGAGTAATGATCTATCATCTCTAGGCTCATCCTGGCTGAATGTTAATAAGAGCAGTGTTCAGCCCTGGCCAGGTAGCTCAGTTGGTTAGAGCATTGTCCCAATACGCTAAGGTTTCGGGTTCGATCCCTGATCAGGGCATACATACAAGAATCAACCAATGAATGCATAAATAAGTGGAACAACAAATCAATGTCTCTCTCTTTCTCTCTCTCCCTTTCCTCTCTCAAATCAACCAATAAATAAGATTTTAAAAAGAAACCTATAGAGAATAAAAAAAAAATAAGATCAGTGTTTAAACCCATTGTGACTCTATAAGGAGTTGGAGGATCTTTCCTTAATCTCAAAATGCATTAATTACAAAGCTTAATAGTTGGCAAACAAAAAGTATTTTTTGAAAAACCAAACCAAACCAAATAAACCACCCAGATTTAAAAGCAGACAAGTCAATGAACTGATCATTTCTGTACAATCAGGACACACTGTTTCTCAATAATGAAATATTTCATTTTTAAACTGATGTGTTTATATCTATTTCACACTGTCATATTTTTAAATCCTAACTTCATGGGCTGAATCATCGAAAGTGTTAGAACAATATTTATAAAATCCATTCCTCCAAACAGACAATAATTTGATTTCAAAAGCTGCATGGCTTCTATTTATCCTCTTAAGGGTCAGTAAAATATTTAGCTGATGTTCATCTGTGCTTCATTAGCCCTTCAGCTCCTGACAGTGCAGCACAGTGACTGCACGGGGCTCTGACACTTGGCATTTCTTAGCCTTGACTTCAGAGTTTTGCTGGTCCCACGACTGACTGACTGAAGGCCACTGGAAACAGCTGGGTGTCTGGTCTCCAGCTCAACCGCCCAACATTTGACCCGCTAACACCGCGAAGCTGCCAGTGGTGTTGGGCAGCAGCTATTGTCTAACAGCTGGACAGTCTCACATGCCTCACTTGGCACAAGAGGCAAAGGCTTCTACCTCCCAGCCTTAACGGAGCTTGGCTTTCTAGCATTTCATCCTAAAAATGGCTATTTTGGCCCTAGACGGCTTGGCTCAGTGGATAGAGCGTCAGCCTGCGGACTGAGGGGTCCCAGGTTCGATTCTGGCCAAGGGCACATGCCTGGGTTGTGGGCTCGATCCCCAGTAGGGGGCGTCAGGAGGCAGCCGATCAATGATTCTCTTTCATCATTGATGTTTCTATCTCTCTCTCCTTTTCCCTTCCTTTCTGAAATCAATAAAAATAAATATATTTTAAAA